AAATACCTCACCCATTTTGAATGGCTGCATCTGTACTGTGTCTCAAAAGTAACTTAAGATCTCCAAATGCAATTCTTAATTTGTTACTAAAGCCTGAATACTCTTTGATATATAGTGCTAAATCTTTATTCTTTTCTGTCTTTTTTGTCTTTCAGGAACATTGTGTATCTAGTGTTGTCACATTTGTCTGAATTGTTTTCACCTACTGTTGTGGTGTACTTGTGATTGCAGTTCTATAATAATTGACGACTAATGTGTTAGCTTCATAATATTGCTTTCATTGATGTGAACTCCACAGCTGTGAAATGTTTCCAGTGCTCTGAACATTTAGAGAAGAGCAACTATTTGCCTCGTCCTTTCTTTATTTTTGTTTTCCTGTTGTTTGACATTGCTCCCTTTTGGATATTTTTTGGCTTCTCCCCCCTCTGTAGTTTTAATGGGTCTTCTGTCCTTCAGCGCCCTCTGGTGCTGAAAGTCCAGCATGCTCTGATGTAAACATGTTTTTGTCCGTTAACGGCAAAAAAATATATAATTGAAGCCAGCTGTGGAGTTCACATCTGTGAAAGCAATATTATTAATCTGTTCACAGTTTAGTGTCTTTAGGTGTCATAGCAGTAAACAAAATAATAAAAGTTACAGTGAACACATTAATTCACAAACATTAAGCTCATTCAAAGATCATTTTGGTGTTACTAAACTGTAAGAAGTCAAATTAAAAGCAGATACTGAGGTCTGTGCTTGCTCACGTACAGTACCCACAGAGCTGGTGCTTGTGATTCCAAATTGTTGATTTTGGTATGACCACTTTTTGTGCTGTAGTCCTGATTGAGCTTTAAGCTTCAAAATCACTCAAAATTATACAGAAAGTTTTGGTTTTCAGGTTATGCTATTCTTTTTAACTACAGACTTAAAACAATGATGTCAGAGTGAGACAGGTTAATGGGATGTTCACAGTTCTTTAATAAGTGTTTAGTTACACAACAATAAACATCTTCCAGCCAATGGTCCCAGTATTTTCTGGCTTTCAAATTAGATTCCATTTATTGACCCAAAGGATAAAATATTTTCCATGAGATATTAATATTATTTGATTTCATAGTTAAAAAGCACTGTTTAGACTTCAATGTGCCAATACATTTGTAGGATTCTGCACTATAACATGTGGACCGTAGGGATCAGATCACAGTCTTAAGTTGGAACTGATCCTTACCAGATTTGTAGGACATCATTTCTTATTACCACCCACAATTAGTGAATAAATGGTTCTGTCACCGTTAGAAAAGCCGGCCTCTGGTTTAGGACCTTCTTTTCAAAAGAGATGTTGATCTCAGCTGGATGTGTTGGCTTAATAAAAGTATTAAAAAGTTAAAAGGAGTGCAGAATTACATTTGCCATGTTAATTTGAAAAAAGGATTTTAGCATCTGTTCCAGCTGTGAGCAGAATGACGGAAGGAAAGAATTCTCACTGTAGCAGATACTTTTACATTCTTATTTTCTCACAGGTGTTCGTCAGTAAAGATGTTGCCAGGCATTTTGGGTATAACTCTGCAGCCGAAGCCCTGAGGGGTTTCTACAGTCAAGTGAAGAAAGGGTAGGTAAAGAGATCATCACATAAAAGCACTTCACATGTGAAAGCTTTTTCAGCCTAGAACATGGGTGATTCAGTTCGCTTCAGTTTTTAAAAAGCTAACACAAGTTGAATATACAGTAAGTTTTGATATATGTGAATTTACATCTTGGATACACAGTGTCCTCCAGATTTAGTCATAGATAGAAGTAGATAGGTTTTCAGATTGAATGATGTGTCTTACAGAAAAAATATTAAAGAATGTCATACCCTAATATTAACAGTACTGCACAGAGGAACATCATATTTATCATAAGTGAAGTAAAGAAAACACAAAGGTAATATTTGGTCATAGCCCTAAATCTTCCTGTGACAATAATTATTCAAATGAGTAGTTGCAATTATTCTTGTAGTGCACAAAGTTTATGTGATTTTAGCAATTCTGTAAGTAAGTAAGAATTGGTCTGTTTGTGAACTGCTTTCTTGAGTTTGAAACACAAATGTTCAATTGGATTGAGGTCTGGAAACTGAGGCTGCCAGTCAAGAACATTTGTTCGAAGAAACCATTCTTCCTCGGTTTGGATTTATGCTTTGGATTGTTATCATGCCTTTTTTGGCCAATCTTGAACTTCTTGGCAGAAGGAACCAGATGTTTTGCCATAATATCCAGGTGCATGTTGGAGTTGATGATTCCCCCATGATTCATCTTAACAAAGGCTTCAGGACCCATGGAGTACATACAAAACAACTCTTGAACAGAATATGCAGGTGTTGTTGAATTGTTGTTTTCAATCTGTTGTATCACGAAGATACCAGTTATAATTGGAGATCTCCAGCTGTTGCCTTTGGATATACCATTGTCTCTCGAACTAATTGTCTCGTAAACCATAGTTGCATCCTCTTCCTGGCAGGACACTGGACTAATGGACATTGCAGTGGAAAGTGGTAAACATTTCATGCACTTTATGGATTCTTTCATAGCCAGTCCTGAACTTGTGGAGATAAATTACCATTTGCCTGCAATTTTTGAAGAGATCTCTGAACCTTAACATGGCGATGCATATTACTACTGAATGTGTTGCCTCTTTTTTATACCTTAGAAAAAAGGGAAACTTTTGGTGACCTGTACTGTATACAGTATATTTCCACCAGCTTCCAGAACACAGGATATTATCATTGATTTGTTTTAGTTTTATTTTATTTGAAATAATAGAGATCTGAATTAATATGACCATCAGGTTTTGTGAAATTCAGTTATTTTTGTGACAAATGTGACTTTGCACTTTCTAATCCCATAGCTCATTTTGTTATGCTGTTTTATGTTGTCAGTAGTATGAATTCTACTTATACAGGAGTGCACTGTATAAGCTGTGCTGGAAAAATAAAGTAGTGAGATGTTTCAGTGTTAATTTTTATTTGTTAATAGGTGCAAAAAGTTAAGTGAATTACATACAGTATCTGTGCTCTAATTTCTCTTGGAAAATGGTTTAAGATCCTGTAAATTGATCAATATTGCAAGATTTCAGCAGAATGTACAAGAATTTTTAAAATTTGTGATGTACTTTATTGTTTGAATTCTTAATGGGTTCTATTTGTAAAAAATGAGCCTTATGAAAAAGAAGTTTAGAAGAACCCAATTAATTAATGAGAAATAACTCTGTATTTGAAGTTTAGTGAATGTACACCACATGGCTTTTCTTTTCAGTGATTTATTGCTTTTAAGATTGGTTCACATACTACAGTGGGTGCAGGCCAGGTGTTGCATTGTGGAAGACATTGGGCTGTTTTACACGTTTTCTTCTGCAGGGCACTGCTGATCTGTGCCTGGGCAGAGATGGGGGCGGATGGAGTGGGCCCTGAGGGAACAGTCGTCCATTCAGATGCCTTTGCTCCTGAGGCAATCGTAGACACTCTGGGGGCTGGTGACACTTTCAACGCCTCAGTTATTTTTTCCCTCTCAAACGGTAAGGATACAAAACCTGCTTCATGAATTTGGCAGCGTGCTGCACAGATGAACGAACACATTTGGTGTTGTGAATGGTGTGATGATTAGGACAGGTATAACTTTAGACTTTCAATTTAGAAGTGATAAATTATTTACTAGAGTTGTTTTTTAAATGACGGACCCATATTTACAGAAATAATTGACACAGAAATGTCAGGAAACAAAGTGTCACAAAAATCTAAGAAGTATAAGCAATAAGTAGACTATTGTAAAAGAAAACCTTGGTACGAGATCTTGACTGATGAGCAGCTGGTGATTTTCTGAACTAAAATTGACTTCAACGGTTAATTAAAAAATAATTTTGATTATTAATATTATCTACTTTTGTTAGTATAGGTTAGTCATTCAGAAGTGTTTAACTTATATATAATACTTTATTTCTGTATTTCTGTTGCTTATGAAGTCTTAAGCAAGCAATATGCTGTGATCTAACCCTTTAGCAAAAACCTCAGAATAGGGAAAAAATTTAGATGTTGATAAAATTCAAACAAGGAGATGATAGAGATTTCCTAGCATGTGGATATCATTCTGGCTCACATGCTGAATTTGAATGTCACGCATTGTGCTAATACAGGCATGACCACTCCTGGAAAGCAGAAATAAAGCAAAAATCACTCTTTGGTTTAAGTGGCACTCATAGTGAGTGTATATTCCATTCTTAAGGACAGTCAACCATTGGCAGCTATGTAAAATTCTAATTTTAACAGTGCAAGTTAATTGCCATTAAACATTGCCATTCCAGGCAGTATCCTACTACAACTTTGGTGTTTCTTTGGAAGTTGTGAAAAATATCAGACAGCTAACAGTTGGTGGAGCAATCAGTGTGGTCCAAAAATGTTTAAATGATGACAATACAGGAAATAAAATCCCTGTGGTAGGAGAATGTGATCATTATCTGGCATAAGTATTTAATATTTGTTAACAACAAGAGATAGAAAAGATTCATAGACAAAGGATGAAAGGAAAAAAGTAACATTTTGTAGAAATGTACAGTTTACAAAAAGATGTTGTTGTTGCAACATGGTAAGATTCAAACTCAGTAAAGGTTTCCTTTATGGTTCAATGCGTAAATAAGATCTGATACAGTATACAGTGCCTTGCGAAAGTATTCGGCCCCCTTGAACTTTTCAACCTTTTGCCACATTTCAGGCTTCAAACATAAAGATATAAATTTTTTATTTTATGT